TCGGCCGCACAGACAATGCAAACATTTGATGAGATGTGAAACACTGAACACAAGTGCAGCCAAACATTCATACATTCATACGGATTGTGTTTTGGAAGTTCGTCCCATTTTTTAAGGTGAGGCTCATCTGAACAACAATTTCCATAGCCTTCAGCCCAGACTCGCTGAACAGAAAGAAGAAGATTATATAGTTTTTTATGTGGAAAGCCTCACAACTCGCGGCTCTGAGTCTATCTGTGCCGCACTCTCTCAGCCCAAGCGGTGGGTTGGGTCGCACTTAGGGGTCAAGAGGTCACAAGTGATGTGCATTATTCACAAATTGTTCAGTTTATAGATAGAGTTCACTATTCAGAATATATTATGGGCTCAACAGGTTTGTGTCTCAATGGTCTCAATGGCAATGCGCTCACAGATGAGGGCAGTCGTGAGAACTGGAATCAAGGATTGGCTCATTTGGGGTTTCATAATAATAGTCGACGACTGACTGCCTATTACTGTACATAGGGTAAGGTGTATGGCATGGCATGTGTGGTATTCCGTACAGTATAGCAACGGATCAGTACTTAACATAACGCAGAGACTCCTCAACCACTCGACGAGACGAGAGGAGAACCCAAACCACAATACATAAGCCATGCACTCGAGTGTCGATCACATCACTAGTCCTGCGATTTTCTGCACTTCTCTATCCATTTAATCGTTCAATAGTTTAGTATAAAAGTGTCATATTTTGTTCAAATGTTAATCTTCTTGGAGTTTGGAGTCAATGTATGCACTGGTAGTCTACAGACTACTCTACTTTCAACATTGAATTCAATGCAAACTACGGCATAGACTCTATCGTAGGTCTGTGCATAAGTTTGTTTCATTTGTCAAAAAGTTTTTCCAACAAAAAGTTCTTTGAGTAATAATTTCTAAACATTTGCAAAGTTTGAAGAAATTCATTGCGAGAGAAAAGTTGTGCACATTTTCATAAAGGCAATAATGATATGCATTAAATTCAATGCTAATAAATAACATTATCATCGGAAACGATAAAAAACCACAAGTTTTCAAAAACTTTGCAAAGTGTTTATACAGTATTTTGTGTGCAATTATTCGTTGGGCTAGAATTGCATACCAGTGCAAGTGTTGAGCCCATAATATATTCTGAATAGTGAACTCTATCTATAAACTGAACAATTTGTGAATAATGCACATCACTTGTGACCTCTTGACNGTTGAGCCCATAATATATTCTGAATAGTGAACTCTATCTATAAACTGAACAATTTGTGAATAATGCACATCACTTGTGACCTCTTGACCCCTAAGTGCGACCCAACCCACCGCTTGGGCTGAGAGAGCGCGGCACAGATAGACTCGTCGCCGCGAGTTGTGAGGCTTTCCACATAAAAAACTATATAATCTTCTTCTTTCTGTTCAGTGAGTCTGGGCTGAAGGCTATGGAAATTGTTGTTCAGATATGAGCCTCACCTTAAAAAATGGGACGAACTTTGAAAACACAATCCGTATGAATGTTTGGCTGCACTTGTGTTCAGTGTTTCATCAAATGTTTGCATTGTCTGTGCGGCCGATCACCGAATCGGTTGTGTTGTTCAGCCATTTGTTAAATACGTGAACGGCTTTTGTCACCCAAATGTCCAAATGCTTCAAAAGGGGTTCAAATTTATAGCAGCCGTGTGCTCCACGGTCTGCCTCTATATACTGATCGCCTATTCATCCCATTCCCAGCCCTATGAGCGCACGTTCCTCATAGAGTACAATAAGTACACGAAACAGGTGTACGCCGTTAGCCCTGACACCCAGACCTTCGCCTCGCGCGACAAGTGTTGCCCACAATTGACTGTCGGCGCCGACACCTCAACACCCATTCATCAAACTCTGTCATCGATGGCAACGCGTGACAAACGGGTTGTCGAAGATGTGATCAAAACATGGAATTCATCGAAACAATTGACATCATCTCAAACTCAACCAAATTCTCGCAAAAGTGTTAAAAACATTTCTAAAATAGACTGTGATTTCAATATAGCAATGATTTTTACGATCGCAAAGACTAATAACAATACGGATATTAGTAAAAACAAATCAATTGATAAAAAGCTTTACCGATCACTCACTTCAATAGCCAAACATCTAAATGATAAGCAAAGGATTTGCGTTAATCTAATAACAGATAAAATGAGTGAAATTCGTGTCAAACATGTACTGAAACTCGTTGACCAGAAAACATCTGAACAAAACTCAATTGAATTGAGGCCTAAATTATTTAAATACTATTTTCATGACATAACAAAAGTCACTGCATTTATCCATAATTTGTTGCCAACTCTTAAAACTCACTTTACATTCAGTCAAAACTCCTATTATTCAAACTCATTGTTCTTCACATCACTGGCAGCTCATCGATACTTCACAGCGATTGACAAATTAATATTCCTCGACATCGATGTCCAGTTCAACGATAATATCGCCAAACTGTACGACCAGTTCAGGGAATTCCGTTCGGATGCGCTCTTAGGCATTGCGTACGAACAGCAACCAGTCTATCGACATATACTCCATGAATATCGCAATAAAATAGATAACGAGACGGGTCTGGGTTCGCCCCCACCTAATGGTTGGCCCGGTTTTAATAGCGGTGTTTTGCTCATGAATTTGAAGCGAATCCGTGACTCCGAGCTCTTCAATCGCTTACTGAGCGCTCAATCAATTGATAGCATTTGCAGAAAATACTTCTTTAGCGGACATTTAGGCGATCAGGACTTCTATACTGTCGTCAGCTTTGATTACCAGCACTTGTTTCATGTGATCCCTTGTAATTGGAACCGACAGTTGTGTCAGTGGTGGAGATATCATGGATATCGAGATATCTTCGACTCGTATTTCTCATGTGATCTCCAAATCAAAGTATTTCACGGAAATTGCAATTCAGTGATGCCTTCCATCTAAATATCATATTATTAGAAATTTATGTGCATTTTATTTATTAATTATTTTGTTATGTTTTCTAAGATTAATTGTAACGATTGCTGTAAATATTTGTATAATTTGTATAATTATTGTACAGTATAGAAATATAATTTTAAAAATATAAACTTAAAATAAAACAATATTCAACATTCATATTTGATTTAATATTTTATATAAAATGTTATGAAAATTGCATTATTAAATATCTAATTCATTCACGTAATACACCGTACCAAATATACTACTTGATAAATAGTCAGTAATTTTTTTAACGGAATTTGTATTTAAATTTTAAATCATTTGATATTATAATCTCGCACTTTTTTAAATGAATAATTTCTAAATTAGTAATTGTGTCTAACTTTTAGTATCACATCTTATCAAATGAATTGCAAATAGTTTTATATCGAGTAATGTATCGATTAAGATATGAGTTTGAATTTAATCCGTGGTCTTCAGTTGTGGCCATAGTTTCCATAATATCTTCAAACTATTGGTTTCAACACAACAGAAGTCACTCACAGTTGTGGCCACACATGAAGTCAATGAGTGGACAGTCAGTCATAAGGAGGACTCATTTGATTGGAGTGAAAGAAATACAACAAAATATAGAGGAATCCATAGTAAAGATATCTCAAAATCCAAAGGCTCTCACAGTGTTGGGCACTGGGGTTATAGTTAATCCAAATGAATATGTATTAACTAACGCTCAAGTGATTTGTGATCAGCAATACGTGGGAATTACATTCAATCAGCCATTCATTAGATCACAGCTTATGGTTAGAGAGACAAGTAGTGATTCAATCGCATCTATTTATGGACGAGTAGTATATGTGGATCCGGAGTGTGATTTAGCGCTCATTAGACTAATGTCTGTCAAACCCGGGGTATTGAAAGCAATTGAGTCATCAAAGCAAACAAACGCAAGATGTGGTCAAAAGTGTGTTGTATTTGGATATCCAACGGTTGGTCTCAATTTCATGACAGGTGTGGTCACTGCTGTCGATAGGGAACCGACTCATACCACTCAGGGATCACAAACTTATTTCAAAGTACTTCTCAATGCAGACCATAAATACGTGAATAATTCGGCAAATATAGGTGATGGCTATTCCGGGGGTCCAGTCGTCGATATGAACGGACACCTCATCGGTATTGCATTGAATGCTCCCCAAAGAAGTGACGGAACTTTCTTTGCCACCACTTCTGCTGATATCAAAGGTTTGAAATAATATTGAGTCAAATATTTGGTGTTTAATTAAATATGTTTTTTGTGGAAAATTACAGATTTTATGGAAAGAGGAAAACAATATGAGATAAGAGATACTCATTTGCAGAGAGAAAGTCATTGGGAGTTGTGTTGCATAAGGAGTCCATTGGAAGACAAGACGCTTTCAAAGTTTGCAAATTTACAGCATTTAATACATTCAATAATTTAGAGTTTAGTTTGAATTGTTTATAATTTTAATGGTAATTAACATTAATTTCAAATGTTGTTTATATAGGAATGGATTGCAAGCCAATGATTATATTGTAGCCATAAATGGAAAACCATTTGAGAGACTCTTTCAATTGAGTGATGCTCTCAATGGTCTGAAACCAAACCAGAAGTTAATGTTAACTCTTTTAAGAGGAAACCAAACAAAGAATATATTCATTGATTCACAACTTATTACATGTTATTTGGCATAAAGTTTATTTTTTAAATTTTGTTTTATTATTATGTTTTGTGTTATTAACATTTAGTTTATATAATTAAAAATTTTAAATCTTAAATTAAGTTTTACATAAAATGAGATCATTTCTGTGGTAATGATAATTTGAACAAATCAGCAGTTTTAAAAGTTCTGGTTCAATTACCTTAAAAAAGTTTTTCTGTTAATTTAATTCAAATTGTGTTTAATATTTCTGTTACAGTATTAATGAAATGAAATTAGAAAATAAGATAAGTATAGAAAAGTTTGCCTTAATTTAGGAACAAATTGTGAGCAAAAGTGTCAAAAGAGGGCATCAGTTATGAAATGTATTGAAAAGTATTGAGACTTTGAATGAAAACAACATTTAATGCAAACATGTGTTCAATCAGTAAATTGTCTCATCTATTGACCAACAAATCAGTCCATCACTTGAATCATGTCTTCAGACGTACGGCCACTCCTGCGCTCAATGTCTTGAGCACTCGCTTCAGTCACTCGAAGTCATCGGACGACAGCACCGCCGATGACATGAACGCTAAAGACATCGAAAGGATATTTTTGAGGCCAAGAGTGCAGACATTACTGAAGCGATTGATTGGATTCAATGATCAGAAGGTGTTTGAAGCGAAGCCGTCGTTGATATCAAAGACAAATGAAGTCCGGTTTATGACAGACAGTGAACTCAATCTGGTATTCATTTGATGGCTATTTCTTTAGACGATTCACTCAAATGTCTTGTATTTATGGATCAGATGTTAGAAATGGCGCGAAATAGGGCCGCCGAGAAGATAGCGATGCCTCCCGTGTTGTCCCCCAAAGACGATACTCCAAGAGTTTTGGCCACAGATTACGAACTCCAGGGATATATCGACAGTAAATTCCTTTTAGTGGACTCGAGTGCCGGCTATTCTGATCAGGTATTCAGTGGTTGATATCAATGCCACCATTGAGTGGTCTTAAGACATGAGATATAAGTGATGTGTTGTCCGACAGACGCGACTGATTGTGGTTCGCGAACCCAATGGTGTCTTAAGGGAAGCGAATCGCGAAGAGAGGTATCGAATGAATCAAATGTTTTTCCCTAAAGAGGAGCGACTTCTCGAAGAACCGAAAATGTTTTGCGAACCAAACCTAACGGTAAGTCATGTGAAGAACTCATTGTATGGTAAAAACTCATGCATTGTCTGACTGTCCGGTTGTGCAGAATGTGTTGGATCGACACGAATACGAGTTTGTCTTAAACCGGGCGTGTCTTCAGTACGAACCAAATGATCCCAAATATATAGACATCTGTCACAAGATATACGAACACATTGTGGCCAACAATCAGTTCCAGTCTTTGCGGTCGACCCGACATTTCGGTCCCTTTTGTTATTATTTGGCATTTGATTCACGAATCGATAAATTATTAAATGATTACATTTTGAGAGAAGAAGTGAGCGATGGCTCGGCTTTAGTGCAACTCTATTATGATATCCATTCATCTGATGCACAGCTCTTGGATGAGATCCACGCGGAGGTTGTGTCTGATGTTCAACTCATTAAGGTTTGTATCAATCGATAGTTTAATTTAAATTATTTTAATTTTGCATTTCATATGAAAATAAAACAGAAATATATATCCGAAGAATCAAAAGAGAAGTCAATTCTTGAGCTCTCGATCCAGAAGTACGAAGAAATACAGAGAGAAAAGGCAGCGATGGCTGAAGACATCAGTAGAGCGCACGGATTGAACGCATAATCTCATGAGTATTGAATATCTGTTGCCATCAGATATCTAAGTCTTCGTCTGGATCCTCTTCATCGATGTCATCGTTTTTGTCGAATTCATAGAAGACTTTCGTTTCTTCATGTGTTCTGAAAGTCATATAAAATATCAATTGTTTTGATAAATCTATTAAATATATAGTAATAAAGTAATGAATTATGAATTTACTTAATATAAGGCAATAAAAGCTTATTTTTTGCCTCCAATTCGCTGTCTTTAAGATTCAAATTGAATGGTATGTTAAGAGTGGGATCAGCACTGGTTTGGCCCATAAATGTCTGTCCACTTTGTGTCTCATTAGAGTCTTTGACGTAAACTATATTATTGTCATTAATTGTGAACATTTCCATCGATTGCTGGACAGAGAAGTGTTTCTTCGGGTGAGGCTTTCGATGCCTTATAACCGCTTTAAAGCAATCATCAGTTTTGATGGTTTTTGTGGACAAATGGATGACTGAATGAGACAACTGTTCCACCGATTCGGTGGTGTATTGCGAGTGAGAGTCGACGTGAAGAACACAAACCAATTGTTTGAATCGATTCGTCAATTCATTCAAAAGACATATACTTTCATACAATGAGTCCATCAGTAATATTGGTGTCAATGAGTCGATCACCACAACTGAATCACCGCTCAATTGGTCCACTTCTTGGAGCAGGTGTTGGCTTATGTTTGTGTCAATGGACTCGTATTTAGTGAACAGATCCACGACTTTTAGGCGATCATTGAGTGGTACGGATGGCATCCAAACATTAAATGGCTTTTCAATGCAAATGACAATTACATTGATTTGTTTGAACCGATTGGTGATCAGTGTCTTCACTAAATGTCTTGAATCACATCCCAATTGATCGCAAATCAGTATAAATCTGGAGCTCTCGGCAGATGAGACCAGTTTTGACAACAGTTTGTTGTTTCTGACGATTGGATTCATGACTCAAATTATGAGTTCATAACTGAAAAGACAATCAAATAGTTTTGAAAAGTTGTAATCATTTTCATAAACAAAATGTTTAAAAGGCATGACTTGTGTGACAACAACAACACGTGTGTTGACTGCCAGTGCTGTCACGCATAGACTCTAAGTGTAAATACTTTTGGCACTAATTTTGATCTCTTTTGCCATCAATTGTTGTTTATTTCAATCCAAATGTGATTATTATATAATCAATCATTGATTACTAATTAAATATTTGGTTATTTAATAATAGTGTATATATTAGCATATATTCACTGCACTGGCATTCATTGGTTGATTAAGTGTTAGTATTATACAGTACACTGTATACTGTAACTCAAAATGTAAGAATACCTGGGTGATTTGCATGGAACAGTTTATTTGTGAGTGCTTAGTAATTTAATAATATGAGACAGGTATTGTCTACTATTGGCTAATACGGTATTGTATTGTATTGGCTATCAATGAATTGATTGATCCAATTGTAATCACTTGTGATCTAATCGTATGGTTCAGAGCAGACGATCACTTAATTGTGAATCCATTTTGAATGCAATACTTGTATTCATCTGATTATCTGCTAATTGACCACAACTTGGCTGCAAATCATGTCTCAAATCTATAGTAAAGATAGTTTTGACCGCTTTGGCGACGATTTGTGCGAATTTATAGTCAGTTTTCTGTCGATTGGCCACAAATTCAGGTTTCAATGCGTTTGCAGACAATGGCAGCGATTGGTGTTCAACAGACAACTCGTGTTAGACATCGACCGCACGTTTAATGTCAAGTTTGCCACAGAATTACCGCAACTGAAGACTATTCTCAAGAAGTGTCGACACATCCGATCCTTCAAGAACTCGCACCTCGTGTTGAGTGACAGTCACATGAAATACATGATCAGGTATTGCAGACATCTCACAGACATTCACGTGATGTGTGCGGCCACTGATGTCAGCCGTAAGACCATTAAAAGATTTTTCTACACATTTGGTCCGCAATTGAATGCAATTACCTGTGAATTGCTGAACAATACTAACGATAAGTATAATGAAAAGGCGCTTATATTGTGTCAAAACGTGTCCACAATTGGGATCTATTCACACCATTATCTGCCGTATTTTCTTCGGCTATTTTGTGTCCCAAATATGCGTTGGTTTTCAAACCTCAAGAGTCTGTCGATGACATATCGCAAAGAATACATGAATGGCTTTAAAGTGTTTGTCCAGAACTATGCCATCAAATTGAGATCATTTGAGGTGATAGTGGATCCGACGTGCGATAAGATGTCGTTCAATATCTTAATGCATGGTTTGTCACAAATGGTGGCATTGATTGATGTGAAGATTATTTGCTATAATATGAAGAAGTCTTTGACTCCATTACTTCCGAACCAATTGAGACAAATTGGTATCAATTGTCGCAAACTGAAGAGCCTTTCCCTCAATGTTAGGCTCAATGTGTCGAATGTCTACGAAATGCTGTTTAAGACAATTGGTCACCACTTCCGACACTTAAAGCGTTTGGAAATAACCGATCCAACGGTTGGTCTCAATTTCATGACAGGTGTGGTCACTGCTGTCGATAGGGAACCGACTCATACCACTCAGGGATCACAAACTTATTTCAAAGTACTTCTCAATGCAGACCATAAATACGTGAATCATTCGGCAAATATAAGTGATGGCTATTCCGGGGGTCCAGTCGTCGATATGAACGGACACCTCATCGGCATTGCATTGAATGCTCCCCGAAGAAGTGACGGAACCTTCTTTGCCACCACTTCTGCTGATATCAAAGGTTTGAAATAATATTGAGTCAAATATTTGGTGTTTAATTAAATATGTTTTTTGTTGAAAATTACAGATTTTATGGAAAGAGGAAAACAATATGAGATAAGAGATCGAGAAATAAAATACTCGTTTGCATAGAGAAAGTCATTGGGAGTTGTGTTGCATAAGGAGTCCATTGGAAGACAAGACGCTTTCAAAGTTTGCAAATTTACAGCATTTAATGCATTCAATAATTTAGAGTTCAGTTTAAATTGTTTATAATTTTAATGGTAATTAACATTAATTTCAAATGTTGTTAATATAGGAATGGATTGCAAGCCAATGATTATATTGTAGCCATAAATGGAAAACCATTTGAGAGACTCTTTCAATTGAGTGATGCTCTCAATGGTCTGAAACCAAACCAGAAGTTATTGTTAACTCTTTTAAGAGGAAACCAAACAAAGAATATATTCATTGATTCACAACTTATTACATGTTGTTTGGCATAAAGTTTATTTTTTAAATTTTCTTTTATTATTATGTTTTGTGTTATTAACATTTAGTTTATATAATTAAAAATTTTAAATCTTAAATTAAGTTTTACATAAAATGAGATAATTTCTGTGGTAATGATAATTTGATAGTTTTAAAAATTCTGGTTCAATATGTTCATTGGAAATTTGATTCATTAATTCAATTACCTTAAAAAAGTTTTTCTGTTCATTTAATTCAAATTGTTTTTAATATCTCTGTTATTAATAATGAAATTAAATTACAAAATAAGATAAGTATAGAAAAGTTTGCCTTAATTTAGGAACAAATTGTGAGCAAAAGTGTCAAAAGAGGGCATAAGTTATGAAATATATTGAAAAGTATTGAGACTTTGAATGAAAACAACATTTAATGCCAAACATGTGTTCAATCAGTAAATTGTCTCATCTTTTGACCAACAAATCAGTCCATCACTTGAATCATGTCTTCAGACGTACGGCCACTCCTGCACTCAATGTCTTCAGCACTCGCTTCAGTCACTCGAAGTCATCGCATCTGTCGTGGCGGCTACTGTACTTGCGATTTCTGTAGCTTTCCTATAAAAACTCCGGTTCTCACGTCTGTAATGACTTCGCTAACTAACCTAAGTTACTAGTCTTCCACAAACTTCGCTTCGGCAGCATGATATCAAAGACAAATGAAGTCCGGTTTATGACAGACAGTGAACTCAATCTGGTATTCATTTGATGGCTATTTAGAAGCGATTGATTGGATTCAATGATCAGAAGGTGTTTGAAGCGAAGCCGTCGTTGATATCAAAGACAAATGAAGTCCGGTTTATGACAGACAGTGAACTCAATCTGGTATTCATTTGATGGCTATTTGTTTAGACGATTCACTCAAATGTCTTGTATTTATGGATCAGATGTTAGAAATGGCGCGAAATAGCGCCGCCGAGAAGATAGCGATGCCTCCCGTGTTGTCTCCCAAAGACGATACTCCAAGAGTTTTGGCCACAGATTACGAACTCCAGGGATATATCGACAGTAAATTCCTTTTAGTGGACTCGAGTGCCGGCTATTCTGATCAGGTATTCAGTGGTTGATAGCAATGCCACCATTGAGTGGTTGATATCAATGCCACCATTGAGTGGTCTTAAGTCATGAGATATAAGTGATGTGTTGTCCGACAGACGCGACTGATTGTGGTTCGCGAACCCAATGGTGTCTTAAGGGAAGCGAATCGCGAAGAGAGGTATCGAATGAATCAAATGTTTTTCCCGAAAGAGGAGCGGCTTCTCGAAGAACCGAAAATGTTTTGCGAACCAAACCTAACGGTAAGTCATGTGAAGAACTCATTGAATGGTAAGAACTCATGCATTGTCTGACTGTCCGGTTGTGCAGAATGTGTTGGATCGACACGAATACGAGTTTGTCTTAAACCGGGCGTGTCTTCAGTACGAACCAAATGATCCCAAATATATAGACATCTGTCAC